CCCATTTGCACACATCCGAAAATATTTAGCGATTTTTATCGTTTATCTTGATTTTTGAGTTAAAACGTAACATGCACCTATCGCTTTTTTCGTCGGAAATAAGTTTTTTTAATTAGTCTTCTTTCGCTGGAGCTTGTTTTTTGGAAAAGATAATTTTTAAAAAAAACTGCGCATTGTGTTTGCTTTCTTGCTTTCTCCAAAATTTTGACTTTTCACAGGCGCGTGTTACACGTAAGTGTCAATAGGTTTAATTAATCTAAACTGAATTAATTTTCGGCTAACAATTATTAATATATGTAAAGAAATTTTATTGCAAAATTTTCACTTTTTGGGAGCTCCGCTTTTAGGCTTGGCTAAATCTACATATTATATTTGAACCTCCGTGTCCCGATGTATATCTAGGTATTCACAAATTAAAGGCATCTGCATCTCAGTATGCACTGATTTCCGCCTTTTCAACCAAAGCTCTCGCAAAATGAGGGTTATTTGTGCGGGTTTGAGTAAAACAGGCACCAAAAGTCTGACTAAGGCTTTAAGAATCCTTGGTTATACAGCATACGACTTTTCAGACCACAGAGATTTTCATCTTGATGAGTGGCGAGCTACCTATAGCACGGGAAAAGTGCCTGATTTTACGACTATGTATGACGATGTCGACGCTGTAGCAGGTCTTCCAGCGTCCGCCTGGTTTCAGGAAATTTACGAAGCTTTTCCTGATGCGAAAGTTATTTTGGCTCTCCGAGACAACGAGGAAGTTTGGGTGAGAAGCCTTTCGAAGCAGATCCAATTCATCAATACCACGGACGGGTTTTTGACCAAAATATCACTCAGTTGGCTGGCACCGTTCCTTGGATCGATCTTCGCTCCGAGCGAGAAAGCACGCTCGCTGAAGGAAAATCTGTTGGTCCAACAAATGATAATGGCAAGCTATGGGAGCCTCAACTGGAAATCTACGGAGCTTTTTAAGAAGAAATATCGTGAGCATAACCAGAGGGTGCAGGCTGTTGTCCCAAAGGAGAAGTTACTAATCTTCAACGTGAAACAAGGTTGGAAACCTCTTTGTGAATTCCTTGAGCGCGAATTACCAGAGGAAGAATTTCCTAGGGAAAATGTAGCATTATCTTTTGTTAAACAAGGAATTTCAAAAGAACTTGAGACAATAAAAAGCCAATTATTCATGTTGATTGCGATTTGTGCTTTTCTTGTTGGTGTGTTTTATGCAGCCTTTTATTTTAGATATCATTATGTTTGAGAATCAGACCGCCAGTCGGTTAGCTGAAAATGCTCTACAAGTCCAAAGTTCACGCGAACCGTCCACCATTTCTTTTGTAGCGATATCGTCGTTTCGAGACTGGAATATACCTGGGATTAACGTTTAATCCTCATTCTAAATAAAGTTGCTTGTCACATAACGTAAGTCTTTTTTCTGATCGGGCCTGCTGGGTTCACTACACTGACCACGCCGATTTTACCCCGCAGGATCGCCTATAGATGGGCAGACGAAACATTTCCCCTATGAAAGATGTCTGAAAAGATTTCGGACAAGATAGATCCCATGAATTAAAATTTCAATTATTTTCCGTAAATGTTGACAGATTTCTAGACAAAAATTGCCTCTGGAAAAGGTCAATCAAGGGCTAAAAAGAATTCGTCTAAGATGGAACCTGGCACCAAATAACAAGTTTACTCTTGTAACAATGAAAAGCTGAGCTGCACGATCTGCCTTCGGTGCAAAGATGAATACCCACTCTGGAAGTGTGTTTCCACATGTGAAAGAAAACGTTCAATTGGGATCTAGCAAGAATTTTCACTTAGTGCGTTTTCTTTAAAACGATCAAGAAGATATTTCTTAAATTGTAATTTGACACCCTCAACACCTCTTTCTCCAAGGATACGGCAGACCTTCGCGGGTGTCCTTCGCGAAAAAAATTGTTACCGCGCTATTTAAAGCGTAACTATCATAAACTATACATCAATGAAAAGGATTTTAAATGCAATTTTCAGCAAAAATTACTTCGTTTTAGCTTGACCTAATCGTAAGCCGACTAAGGCGCGACAAATCGAAACGGGCGATGTTTCTTTGAGCGAATTAATCGGGTATCAAATCTACTCGCGCAAGTGAAATTTCTGCCTTAGTGGTTGCTTTGCAATCTTTCTGTCAAGTTTGGTTATCAAAATTTTACCGATACGCGTTACGTCGGAGACTATTGCGGAAGATCAATTTGGAAAAAACGGAAAAGATCCACGTTGTTTTTTTTTTATTGATTGATATCTTGGGAGCCTTCGGACCAAATTTCAAGTCAATCCGTAAAGGTTTCATATCCTGTTAATGTTACCGACCGCAGAAGGAGAGGTCGAAATCATTTACATTCAAAGCAAACATACAAGCAATATGGTGGACCAAAACGAACCTCGTGCGTTTCTTTATTCTTTTTGCCATGGCAACCCGTGACAAATACGTTTACATGGGAAGGGGAGGGGTGGTGTCCGTTTTCTCAACTTATCCTTAACATTAAGTTGTCCAAAGAAGACACCCTCGCGTAAAAACGACGCGGGTTTTTTCGCTTCCAAAGTTTTTCAAACATTTCACGCCTTTAGTTGACCATTTGTCAAGTTATGTCAACACTCTGAAAAACTCGAAATGCCGACCCCCGTTTAGGCGAGATTTTTTCGCCATTCTTAATCGAATTCCTTCAAAGTCTGGCTCTTACGTTCAGGCTTCTTTCTAGCTTTAACCTAAGGGCTCTTTTCCTTTACAACTCTACCCATTACTTCACGAACTGCTAAAATAAACACGTGTGACTGACATCTGAAGATGTTTACGCGACTTAAGTACTACTCCAAATGTGCTGCCGCGAAAAACATCACGGGAGTCATTTGTGTTGATACATTACAATTGGCTCTTCACACCTTGGCGGCTCAAAGAATTCAGTTCCAAAAAACGTTTTGGTAAATAACTCAAGTGCGTTTCGATATTTTAAAACATATTTTTTTAGAAACTGTAGTTAAAATAGTAAGGCTTTGTTTGGGGTAAAAAAAAAAGGTCTACCGTATCCTTGAGGCTAGGTGACCTTAAGCCGGGCAAACAAACTTTACATTTCATCTGCCGCACTGAATTTATTATCAACTGACTCATATGAATACCACCTAGTTTTTCTGGGGGCGATACTTGTGTACGCCCCTTCTTCCACTGTTTGTCCTGTCATTGCGTAACAAACTTCAAGAACTGTTCTCCTTTTAGATATCTGTTAACGTGCAGTTCTAAACCACATAACGGCTTCTTTATAATTTTTATATTCACAATCTTGTTTCTGTTTTGGCCGATCTTAACCGCAAAAGCATGAAATTTTTTGGTAGAAAGTCGTTTTGGAAGGAGTAAACAAACCGAAGGTACATACTTAGTACGCAGGAACTGATGTACGTAACTTGACGTGATTCGCTAGTTAAGATGGAAATGATGACGATGCACGAAGATTGACCGCTCGGCAAATGACACCTTTGTAAGTTGGTACACAACATTTTCAATCCGATTTTGAGTTGAGCTAGTCCCAACACTAGAAATTTGCATAAGAAATCAAGGCCAAGAATAAAGAAATGAAAACCGTACAGAGTATAAGAAAAGTACCTCTACCAAACAACCGTAAGTGAGTGTTAGATAAGTCATCTAACACACATTTCACTCTTTTCATGGTTCAATATTGTGGTACATAAAATTGTTTTGATGTCTATCGAGACAGAAATGGATGCAGTTTTCTTGTACATTGGAGTTGCCAAGGATACTTTTTCCCCGAACTTTCCATCATTCAAAACAAATGGTTAAGATTGTAAGATAAATCATCTAACACACATTTCCGTCTTAGCTGGGTCAGCCTATGCGATAATCTGTTGATGACGTTTGATCGAGAGATTTTAGTCTGCAGTTTATGATAATCTTGCTTCTGATGGAGTGTTACAAATTTGGTGAAAAGATATGGCGATGTATACCCAAGATGAAAGTAATTTGGTTATATCAACTAAGTTGAAATTGTAAATTGGCCACCGTATGTAACGAATAAAAAGGCTGACGTTTCGAGCGTTAGCTCTTCGTTAGCCCTTCGTCTTTCGCTCTGACGAAGGGCTAACGCTCGAAACGTCAGCTTTTTTTATTACGGAGGCCAATTTACAATTTCAACTTAGTTGATATAACCAAATTACCTTGTTACCCCCACCGACGCAGCACCACAGTTTCTGTAGAAACTTTCAGCCTTTATTCAAGATGAAAGTAACCGATGCAACTTCTTCTTGAGACAAACACTGCTCATGTCTGAGTATTATTAGCTCACATAAAAGAAGAGGATATTCGATTGAAATTCGAAACGACTGTGGAATTTTAAAAGCACCGTAATATCTTACTAACATCACAGGAAGATAACTCCATGGGCTTTACAACCTCTTGGCGTCAGTGATACGGTTGATTCTTCCCCTGAACGGACGCTCTGCTGAATCAAAATAAATAATAACTGGAGAAACGTCTGTGAAAAGGAAGCGATAAGCCGTCCAAAAAAAACTTTATTAAATAATGCAATACAACATTGAAAACCGCATGTAGGAGAACTTTAGTAATGTGAACAAAGGAAACAAATTGAAGATTTACGAAACTTGTTAAAAAAAAACAAGAACTACTCTCTTTCCTTTGAAACTCCATTGTACCATTTCATCGATCTTCACCATGTATAAATATTTCGTATATATATACATATACATTCGTATACATACATACGTTAGCGAAGAAAATTCGACTTAAGGTTTATCACGAAACCAGATTGGTAGTAGAGCGAGGCTCCAACAAGAAGACGAGTGGAAACTCAAGCTACATCGATGGGTAAGAAAAGGAGCAAGAGAAAGAGAGCATTCTACAACGAGGACGAAGATGGAAACGAGAACCCTCAAGTCGGAGGAAGGTCTATCGAAGCAAACAACGCTTTAGAGAAGAATAGGACACAAGAGTACCTGGACTCCAGAAAAGACGAATTATTAAGTTTCGCGTCGGATACTTCACAAAAGGTTAGACAAGCTCAAGAGGAAATGGTGAAAGTAAAGAAGAAGGCGGAGCAAATGGAAGCAAGCATATTGAAAGAAGAAGAAGTTATTCAGTCAGAAAAGAGAAAAGTAGAAGAAGAATACGCTAAGAAATTGAGAGAACTTGAAGCTCGATCACTGCAAAAAAGAGACCAACTCGTCAACGTTAAAGAAGAAGCCAAAATAATATAATAATTTGGATATATCAACAAAGTTGAAATGGTAAATTGGCCACCGTAACGATTACAAAAGGTCGATGT